CTGGAAGTACTGTCTGACGCGTCTGCCTCTGCGACCCAAAGGGAGAAGCGGCGATGGAAGATGATGATGATGATGATGATGATGATGATGATGATATACAGTTGTTATGTTAGACTCGCAACTTTTTTCTTGTTAGTATGCTATCGGCTTCTAATGCACCCGTACCAAAAAAAAAATCCGCTAGAGCAGTTGTCATACTCCCGCCTTCCAGATGACCAGTTGCTAACAGTTCCACAATCACTTGTGATCTAGGATGGATCCTGACATCCGACAGCGTTTAGTATCAAATTCTCCAATTTTTGGAACCCTTTATCCATCGGTCCATCGATACAGCTCTGGACTTCCAGGTGCACGATAGACGTTCGCATATGAACACGTTTGGTACGAAGTAATCTATACTTTTGGGATCCGTTAACTTTAGCTGATCGATCCAGCCCTGGGCACGCAGAACCTTCGCGTCTCAATGCATTTGACAGCAAGCCCCTTTCACTTTTGAAGCCATATTTTCTTTGTTCCAGCGATCCAGCTCTACATGCACCACATAGGTATGGCCCTCATTTATATGTTTCATTTATTCTGGCTGCATGCTACGTGTCCGGTTAGTCCGATTCGTTCACGTCGTTTTCACGTTTGCGGTAAGCCTTATTTTTCAGGATCCGACGATCCATATGTAATTGTAATGCAAATCTTTTCTCTTTCTGTCTACAAACTCTGATACCTGCTGTTCTGCTGCAGCAACCCAGTCGTTTACTAGACAGTCGCATGTTTGGGATAAAACTGCTCCTGCGCCATCGAACTTTGCCGAATTTTCCGCCGCATGGCAAAATCCGGGGAAGAGTACGACGCGTACTGATGAACTTACAGTGGTTCCTCTTCACTTAAGCCTTCATCTATAGATGCCCATGTAAGACATTTATGCCGTTGTAATTTATGCTCATCATACCCCCTTTTCGCTATCAATTTCACAAAACTTCTACAATCTTTCAGCGATTTAATAGAAGGAATTCAGTTGGATAAACCCATAACCTGTGCTACCCTTCTTCGGGCTTGGTTCGAAGGAGAACTTCAGAAAGCATCTGACTAGTATTAGTGATATTGTAGAGTTCATTCATGAAGTGATAACGGCGGGAGGCTTCCACTGATGGAGATTACAAAAGGGGGGCGATGGCGTTCAGTACCGCGGTTTATAGGAAAGTGATTCATGTTGTACACTATCTTAATTTTGGCTCTTGTAACCGAAAATCCGCAGAATGCATAGATTTCACGTAAGGAGATAGCTACATTCAGAAGCTTATAATATAAGAAGAAAACACGTATGCTACCTCAGCAGAGCTGAAGAAAAGACTCTGCCTCCAGAAAACGTAACAGCATGAAGAACCACGTCATCCAGTGGAAGGCAAAAAGTACAATCTTAAAAGAATCTAACTGGATGAGAGAGAAATTCTTGAAGATATCACGATACAGCCTATGCGAGCAAGACGAACCAACAAAATGTAAATTATACGGTTAGCACAGATCAGCTGTTGTTGCTACGTTCGATAATTAGCTAGCTCCGTTAAAATTGTTTGCATTACTTTCCTTTTATCGGTATCATTTTATTACGCACATCATTAAATTTTTAGTTTAAATTCGTTCGCTATTGATTCACCGACTAAGACCGCCGCATGAACTTGTTTGAATCTTGGAGCATGTTTCAAATACGACTTGGATCGAATCGTACTATTCTTTCCTTTAATGGTGGCAAACGTCGACCAGAAGGACAGGAAGCAACGACGATAAAAAAAGGTCGGAAAAAGTGATCTGTGCCTTATGGCAAACGTAGGAAACTTGCGAATACACCGGTCATCACAAAACACAGACGTTCTGTTAACGCGAAAGGCTCGGATTTGATTTCAGTTAACAGAAAAAATGTATGCCCTTTCGAGACTCAAACCCCACAACTCCAAAGCGTAAAACGAATGATTGTAGTTATGTTAAGGCTGCTAGCAGTTTATCTTTGAACTCCGCGTTATTTACAAGTCTCGTCCACGATTAAACGCGCAAAAAAAGACGCATACACGTCACTCAGATTTAGTTAATTATATATAAACTTATTAGTTTCAAATAGAATGTCCTGAATGGTCATTTTCTTTGATTTAAGTCCCGTGTAAGAGCTGAAACAGTTAATTTGTCCGGGGTCTGTGCGTGTCTCTATTCTTTAATGCATTTGTTGCACCCTGCTGTCTTCTGTCCATATCCTTAACCGATCTTGACTATTTTTAGAGTCAACATGATGTCATGACCATTCTTATAACTCTGCTTAACAGAAGTCAAGTATTTTGATATGCAACTGTTTGCCCTGTATCATGTTCTTGAATATGTCGAGCTTATTTTTTTTCTCGAAAAGGCTTGTCGCTGTTGTTATCACGATAACAGTTGAATAAGTCTTAACGTCACACACAGACTAGGTTTCCACTTGATTTGCCAGCCGTCACCAGCCAAAATGGTTTGACTCACGAATCTCATTGGCTGACGAGGACTAGTAAGTCTAGTCGAAACCTGGTTTTTTGTGTGCAGAATAATGCTCATCTTCACTGTTAATTCGCCAAGTTGTTGAGGTAAGCGAATTGACAGAGACGCATCGCTGAGTTCTGAGGTACATGGTTACGCTTATACGCACTGTGAAAATTAAAATGCTGGGATTTTGGGCGGCTCGGATTAAATCCCAGAAGTTCTTGACAGTCATGATGGAAAGACAGTTAAACAGGCACATGTAGATTATAGCGCTGATTTTGTGGAAAACGATCCTTCGTGAACGAGGCTGAAGTTTCAAAGATTTTATTCATTTAAAACTTTTTTAACCGAGTTTCGCTTCATTTTTGAAACAGTTTGCCGCACGGTGTTATGCCGCGGTTCACCAATCGAAAATCTTTCCTGGATTCAATATGCCGTTTGGATCCAAGGCTCGTTTCAGAGTCTTCATCACTTGCAGCGTGTCAGTTCCAAATTCCGCCTCAAGGTAGCTCTTCTTGTCGATGCCCACACCGTGCTCACCAGTGCAAGTGCCGTCAACGGAAAGAGCTAGTCTGAAAACCAGGAAACACATAGAGATGCGTGTGAACCAACAACAGTACAAAAAGAAAAGTACAGATTCACTAACGAAATAGGGTAAGAAGACAAGACCAAGACTTGAACAAACGATACCGAACGCGTTTACTTTCACGACGATCCGGTGCCACTAATTAGAGGCTACGTTTGAAGCGGCAAAAAATTTAATTTGTGTTTTCGTAAGCAGTGCGGCAAAAATATGTGCCAAAACGTTTGCCGAAAGCGTTGACTCATGATACAGTAGATGAAAAAGCTGATTGCACTGTTCAATAACGAGAAGAGATCCATTAATTCGCCGAGCTTATTGTAGACTTTCGACCGAAATTCGTGATTATACAAGCCGGTGCCAATCAGCAAGAGCCCTTGCGGCAGTTGAGTAAAGAGAAAAGACAGCAGCAAGGTGATCAGCATCCAGGTGATGTGGTCTCTGCAGCTAAAATTGTGGTGACGAACGCTGTTAAGGGAGCAAAGCCGGTTGCTTCGGTGACGCGCTTCTGAAAGAATGCACAGCAAGACGCCGATGAAGAACGTCAACAGAATGCACGGTATGATCTTGAAGATGATGCCATTAGACCAGAAAGCCAATTTCAGCACGAAACAGTTGTTTTGTGTACCTAGCACGGAAACGGACGTGAAATACATCACGTGGCTAATGTTGTTGGATAACGAATTCAACGGTCGGCGTTCGACGGGCCGTTTG